GACTTACTAGTGATGAGAGGAGCAAGTAGGAAGAGAACATTGAAACATTAAGTGATTAAAACAAAAACAAACAAACAAAAACTTCTGTTGTATTACAGATGAGTTTGGCTGCAAGTAAGAGAAACCCCAAGCAACAGCAGCTTCACCATGCAAGGGGTTTATTTTTCTCAAGTCACAAGAAGTCTAGAGGTAGGCTGCTGGCGGTGGTTCCCGGCCTCAGTGACATAAGGGCTTAGGTCCATGTTATTTTTTGGCCTTTTCTCATTATATAGGATGCCTTTTGTAGCTCCAAGTATCATATTCATGATCAAGGCAGGAAATGGAGGAAAAGGACAGTGCCAACCACAACTTTTCCTTTTGTCAGGAAAGCGTTTTTCCTAGATGCCTTCAGCAGACTTTTGTTTATATCCTCTGTCACATAGCCACCTCTAGCTGGAAAGGACGTGGGGAGAGTGACCATTTAGCTTTCCCATCCCTAAAATTCATGGTGGCAAGGGAGAAGGGATTTAGCAATGGATGTTGTGTTAGTCATGCTTCAGTGTCCTTTTTGTATTGCTGATTTTCTTCCCTCTGAGAGATTATTTATCAAGTTCTTATATTCCTTCAGTTACTGGTTGATAATTGCCAATTTTATATTTAAGAAATAAAAAAGATTATTGAGTTTGGCATTGTGCCAGCACTTTATAAACATAATTTCATTTAATGCTTATAATAATCTTTTGATCAAGGTTGATTTTTATAGATGAGGAAGTAGATACTTAAAGGAGGTAAACAATTTTCACAAGATCATCCAGCTAGTAAGTGGCACAGCTGGATTTCAAATTTATGTCTTGAATTCGAAACCCTTATTTTCTTTGTCTTTCCCAGGATGCTTCCAGCATTTATCTTTTTGCCTTTAGGACATCTCTTCACCGTCCGCAGCTTAGACACAGCATCCTTGTAGCAGCAGCATCTTTCTGCCTCTCCTAGAGAGTAGGTTGTGTTTGTCGCAAGCTCAGGATTTACTTCCTGTGAAGACAGCCTCCTTATCTGTTCTTATGTTTTGGATCTATCCCTTTTTGTCCCCTTTGATATATGCTTTATCTTAAACCTATTCATGTATTTCTGTACAATTATATTCTGGTGGTTTTATGTATATTTTTTGTTCATCTTTCAGATAGTCCCTGCTGTGTTACAGAAGCACAGCTTTGAGCTTTCTGTTGTTGTGGGATGTAAAATAAATGGATGCAATGGGATGCAATGGAATCTTTCTCACATGAGCTCCTTGAGAGCAGGAACACTGATGCTCCTTCGGTTTCCTCCCTCAGCTTCTTAATAATTTATAAAACTCTAAACATTAAGGCACTCTGACCTTCTTACGTATATTGTAAGAAAACACACCAGAATTAAAAGGGATGCACTTTTAGTAGTTGAAGACATCTTTAATGGCCATTCTACTTCTTTTAACTCCTTCTTTCCCTGGGCAAAGTACTGTTAGTTCTCCTGGGCGATATGGTTTCCAGGCACCTTACTATTTTTTTTTTCTTTTTTTCTGGCTTTGTTCCAGTTTGTTAAAGCCTTTTATGAAATATGATCTCATAGCCAGGCATGGTGGCTCACGCCTATAATTCCAGCACTTTGGGAGGCTGAGGCAGGCGGCTCACCTGAGGTCAGGAGTTTGAGACCAGCTTGGTGTGATGATGCATGGCTGTAATCCCAGCTACTCAGGAGGCTGCAGCAGGAGAATTGCTTGAACCTGGGAGACAGAGATTGTAGTGAGCCGAGATCACACCACTGCACTCCAGCCTGGGCAACAGAGCGAGACTCTGTCTCAAAAAAAAAAAAAAAAAAAAAAAACTCCAGAGTAGCACAATATATTCTCCTTAGGGCCTGCTTTAGGACAATCTGTCCTTCACTTCTCTTGCTCTAGATTTTGTTCCTAAAAATGTTACCTTAGTTTGATCTTTTTTTTTTTTTTTTTGGTGGTGAGGAGACCAGGTTGCACTTTTTCTGTTTTTGTGTGTTTGTTTTAGCAGCAGTGTTATACTTTTACTCATTTTGAGTTCACAGTTCCCTAAAATCTCTAAATATCTCCCATATAAGCACTATAGGTATTAATTTGTTCTCTCCCATCCTTCATTAGTTTTGGGGAGTACATGAAGAGTCTTTACAATTTAGTTCATGATTTTGGTTGTCAGAATCTTTTTGAATACTTATCCTGACTTCCAGCAGTCATATCCTTCCAGACAACCAGCCCTCCTGATGTTTGTTCCTTATGCTATCATTCAAGTCATTTGTGAGCATATTAAACTGGAGGTCAGAGTTCCATAGATTACCCCTAGAGTACCGCTTTCCATTGACATTGATTAATTCATTGGTATTCCCTTAGTGTTTTCACTAAACCGCGTTGGGAACCATCTGACTATGTGGATATTTAATCTGTATTTCTCTGTTTTTCTCATAAACTTGTCATAAGCAACTTTGTCCCGTGATTCAGATTCTTTGAGGTTTGATTTAGCATTTCTCCTCTCTTTCGTTTATATTCTGCATATTTCACATTCTTGAATGAATATTGAAAGTAGATCCAGAAGCTTTTTCCTCCCAACTTTTTCTCCTAAAAAATTTTGTCACATTCATTTTCCTTTCACCTAAATTCACCAGTTGTTAACATTTTGCTACAGTTGTATTCTCTCTCCCTTTGTGAAACCAATTCAAAGCAAGTTGCAGACATCATGAGACATCATCCATAAATACTTCATAGTGTGCTTCCTAAGAGCAAGGATGTTCTCCTACATACCCACATTAATATTAGCACATCTAATACATTTAACATTTCTGCAGCAATCTTACATACAATAAAGTTCATATTCAGATGTATTTTCTAAAAAATGTCCTTTATTGTTTTTTTTCCCAATCCAACATTCAGTCAAGGATCATGCATTATATTTAGTTGTTATGTCTCATTAGACTCCTTTAATCTAGAATATTACTCCTTTTTTTTTTTTTTTTGAGACGTAGTCTCGCTCTGTCACCAGGCTGGAGTGCAGTGGCACGATCTCAGTTCACTGCAACCTCCACCTCCCAAGTTCAAGCGATTCTCCTGCCTCAGCCTTCTGAGTAGCTGGGACTAGAGGTATGAACCACCACACCAAGCTAATTTTTGTATTTTTAGTAGAGATGGGGTTTCACCATGTTGGCCAGGATGGTCTCCATCTATTGACCTCGTGATCCATCCCCCTCGGCCTCCCAAAGTGCTGGGATTACAAATATGAACCACCACGTCCAGCCATTACTCCTACTTAAAAACAATTTTTGTCTTTCATGATGCTGACATTTTTAGAGTCCAAGCCAGTTGTCTTTTAATATGCTCCATAATCTGAATTTGTTTCTTTCCTTGTGAGATTCAACCTAAGCATTTTGGCAAGAAGGTGATGATATGTACTTCCTAGTTTATGACATCAGAATTCATGAGGCAGCAGGATTGTTTGAGGCAGGAGGATTGTTTGAGCCCAGGAGTTTGAGATCAGCCTGGGCGACAAGTGAAGACACCGTCTCTACAAAAAATTTAAAAATTAACCAGGTGTAGTGGTGCACACCTGTAGTCCTACTTGGGGGGCTGTGGCAGGGGGATTACTTGAGCCCAGGAGGTCGAAGCTACAGTTGAGCCAGGATTATGCTGCTGAGCTGCAGCCTGGGCCACAGAGCGAGGCCCTGTCTAAAAAAACAGATCTGTAATGTTAGTTTGTCCTTTAATATTATCATACCTAATAAAATTAACAATAATCTCTTAGAATCATCTAATACCCAGTCTATAGTCAGAAGATCTTGATTCTATGATTTTTAAAAATAGATGATCTATTCAAATAGTCTATATATATTATATGTTATATTTCTTAAATCTCATTTATTTTGTAATACGTTCCCACCCTTTTTTTCCAATGCCATTGTTTTGTTGGGAGAACGAAGTGATTTATTTATTCTATAGTATATTCCACATTCTGGGTTTGTCTCCTACATTATTCTTGTTTATAAAAATCTTCAGTTCAACTTTACTGTCATAGGAAGTTGGGTACTAATTTATTTATTTATTTTTTGACAGAGTCAGGTTCTCGCTCTGTCACCCAGGCTGGAGTTTAGTGGCACTATCATGGCTCTCTGTAACCTTAAACTCCTGGGCTCAAGTGACCCTCCTGTTCTATGTTACCATGCCCAGCTGATTTTTACATTTTTTTTCTGGAGATGGTGTCTCACTATGTTGCCCAGGCTGGTCTCAAACTTCTGGCCTCAAGTAACCCTCCAACTAAGCCTCCCAGAATGCTGGAATTATAGGATAAGCCATCGTGCCTGGCTTTTCCTTCTGTTATGTGAGCCTCTTAGCTAGCCATAATTATGATCAAAGCTTGTAGTATTGTCAATGTGGAAAAAAGTAGGCATAAAGTGTTGATTGATCCCAAGATATCACCTAAGTGTTAGGGATTGTAGTACATTCCTAGTTGGCCTTTTTTTCTTTTTTCTTTTTTAAATGTGCCTTTTCTCCTACAAGATAAAAAAAATGATAAGAAAAAAATCTCGTTGGTTAAGATTCTAATTTAATTTGACTGAGCTTTGTTTAAGTTTTCCCATCAGTATATGCATGAATAGATTGTACTTACGTGGAATAAGCTGGAGACTGTTTAACCAGATTTGTGTGGTGCCAGGCACAGATAGATACTCAATGTCTTTTGACGAATTGTGTCCTATTTTGAGGTTACAAGCTTTTCGAAGTTAGGAGTCTGTTTAATGTTCTTTATGTAGTGGCTTGAAAATAGTGAATAAGGATTTGTAAATAATGTTTCCATAAACACATTTGATTAAATCATATTAAAGTAATATAAAATTAGGAACTAAATTTTAAAATGTTGATGGTTATGTCTAATTGTGAAATGTTTTGATAATTTGACATTTTAAATTTTGAAATGACAATAATAATAAGTGGTTATATTTTTCTCCTTGTAAATCCATAGACATCAAAATTTACAAGCGCTTCAGATATTCCAGTAGAATTTATAAGAAGAAATGTTAAACTACGTGGACGATTACGCCAAATAACTGAGAATGGTTTAGAAATTGAACATATACCTATTACTTTACCTATTATAGCTTCGTTGAGAAGTAAGTAAGGTACAAGATTAATGAAACTAAATAACTATTGTGGTCTTCTTTTATTAGATGTTATTTATAAAATATCAAAAGGAAAGTCATTTTAATTCCTAATAACTCTCCATTGTCCATGAGAAAGTCTCAATTTTTGGCCTTATATATTAGGAGGTGCTTAATTTGGCTCAGATTTCCTTTTTTCTTTTACTTCTTTTTTTCCTTTTTCTTTCTTTTTTTTTTTTGAGATAGGGTTTCACTCTTGTTGCCCAGGCTGGAGTGCAATGGCGCGGTCTCGGCTCACCGCAACCTCCGCCTCCCAGGTTCAAGTAATTCTCCTGCCTCAGCCTCCCGAGTAACTGGGATTACAGGCATGCGCCACCACGCCCTGCTAATTTTCTATTTTTAGTAGAGACGGGGTTTTTCCATGTTGGCCAGGCGGGTGTTGGACTCCTGGCCTCAGGTGATCCTCTCGCCTTGGCCTCCAAAAGTGCTGGGATTACAGGCGTGAGCCACCACACCTGGCCCCTTCGTTCCTTTTTAAATTCAACTATTCAGTCATTCAGTCATTCATTTCACAAATGTTGAGCACCTATTATGATCTAGGACCTAAGCTAATTGTACAATGTTGGGTAAAACAAACAAAGTTCCTTTAACCCTTGAAGCTTACAGTCTAGGTGGAAGATAGACAACAGACAAATGAAAAGTTTTCCTAAGAGCTATGAAGAAAAGAAGCAGGATACTAGGATAATTCTGGGTGGTCTTGGGGTGGCAGTAATAGAATCTATACATATAGAGTAGTCAGAGAAGGCCACATTGAGGAATTGTTATTTAATCAGGTACCTGAAGAATTAAGAGGAGGCTATCTAGGAAGAGCATAGGTGAGAAAGAGCATGATGCTTTTGACAAGACATACCAAGACTCCTGTGTTTGAGATACAGGGAGGAAGGGTGTAAGCCAGGGGTATCCAATGTTTTGGCTTCCCTGGGCCATACTGGAAGAAGAAAAATTTTCTTGGGCCACACATTAAATACACTAATGATAGCTGATGAGCTAAAAAAAAAAAAAAAAGCAAAACAATATCATAATGCTTTAAGAAAGTTTACAAATTTGTGTTGGGACATATTCAAAGCCGTCCTGGGCTGCATGTGGCCCACAGGCTGCAGATTGGACAAGTTTGGTATAAGATACCACTTTCCTGCTGCAATTTCCATTTCTCCTTGCTTCACATCAAAGCCCCTAGGCACACACAGACTTTCATGCTGCTTATATGCATTCTCATAACCTTGGGCCTGGCTCTTTGCTTGGAGTGTCTTGGCCTCTGTTGAACATCAATTGATTCTTTAGGATCTGGCTCAACTGTCAGCTCTTTTGTGAAGCCTCCTTAACTGCCAGGCTGAATTAGCCTGTTTCTTTACTATACCCCACAACAATTTATGATACATACACTGCAATTATAGTACTTATTCACCTTTTTCTGCTATTGTTATGTATTTAGGTTTATATTCCTCACTGAACTGTGAGCCCCTGATGGGCAAGGATTTTCTCCTTTTCATTTTGGTATTCAAAGTCCCTAGAAAAATACTTATTAGCCAATGGAGACTTGATAAAATTTGTCAAATGGATTAATTTAGTTCTATTTATGGCTCTTCTTAATATTCTGATTTTATGAAGAAAGGAGTTCCTTTTTAAAATCCCAAGGTGAACGAATATCACTCTCTTCAATAACGTACAACTATAAAGGAACAAGATTGATTTTTCCCCACCAAACATACTTGATACAATTAATTCTTTTAGTAAACCAAAGAGAACTTACACAGTTTTAATGAGTGTTGCTCCCTGAAGAGAGATTACCAAGGATGGCCTTTTGTGACCATGTCAGCTCTAAGTAGGATTTACACTTCGCAAGTCCTTTAGCTTCTCAGTTGTAATAATTTAAATCTCCCCTATCTGATAGTAATGACTCATCAGAGCTTAGCCAGCCAGATCATCACTTGTGGTTATCCAGGCTATGCATTGCATGTCTACAGGGGTGATATTCAACAGAAATCTGCCTCCTGAAATCATGCAATGCCACAGCACTGTAATTGCCATATATGATTTTTATTATTAATGGGTCTCACAACAAATAATAAAGTGATTATGTAATTTGGTACATAGAATCTGAATTTTAGAGTCTAAGGGAGCCTTAGAAGTTCCTTAAATTCCCACTTTTCTCCTCCACTTATTTTAATATTTTCTACAGAGATTAAATGCCATCTAGCTAATAATGTTGAAATCAAAGCTAGAAAACAGATTTTCCATCACTCAGTTCAGAACTGCATGTTCTATAGACATGTAGAAGTTAAAGAAACAGATGATAAATGTCTTGTACCTCTCAACAGATATTAACCACTACAAATGTCATGATAGTGCTAATGCCTGTTTTGTGACTAACATAGACTGCTTATGTGAAAAAGATTATTTTGCACTTTCAGACATGAAACCTATTTACCTGTAAAATTGTTTTAGAGCTAGAAAGTTGTTACCCAAACACCATTTTGAATGATACGATAAGTTGCTAGAGCATAGTCTTCATTTTAAAATAGTTAATTAAAAACTCCTTATGTTCCTTTCACTATTTTTACTTCTTGATTTATGTAATAGAAATAGGTGTTTATTCTATTTCTGAGGAGGGCTAAGATCCAGGTCCTAAAAATGGAGATCATTCTTACCAAGAAGGTTTGGTTCAAATGACTCAACATAGTAGTAGAGGCTGCATGGTGTAGTAGAACACAGATTGGTGTGTGAAAGCTGTGTTCTGTTTCTGCTTTTGGTCTGTGGTTCCCACCACCATCAAACAAGAGAGTCATAAGATTTCTAAGACTCCTTTCTAATGGCAATTCTGTGCCACCTATCCCTTCTGTGATCTTATTTTTGGTGTGTGTGAATGAGGAGGCGCGCACACACACACACACACACACACACAGCCTAAACATTTTATGAAATGAAACATTTAGAATACTTAATTCCTCCAATTATTACTGAATGCCTGCGCTGTTGCTACAGTCTCAGTACAGCGGCAAAGAAAATGGGCACACACTTACAGTAGTCATAAAACCTGCAGTCTAGTGAGGAAATTATTCAAAGCTTCTCTTATCCCTGATGGTAAAAAAAAAAAAATGTTTTTGACATAGGTGTAGATGATTCTGCTGTCATACAACTTCCTGTGTCTCATGAAGTTGTACATTGTCATGAATCCACTTATAGCATTTTATAGATCTAGAGTTATTTAAAAAAAATCAGTTTTTGTATTATGTCCTATCTCTCTAAAAACCTTAAAAATATTTAGCCACAAAGTTTCCCACTCATCTCATGAGGCAGAAATATAACAGACTCCCTAGTTGGGGTTTGCTTCAGTTTTCATCTTATGTCTGTAGTTTTTCTAAATAATCATGATCCTTCCCTTACTTGACATAGTCACTCTCTACTCCCTTCTGCTTCTCTGTGTATTTGAAACACCCAAGTCCCACCTTATATTTATTGATTGATTTTGAGACTGGGTCTTGCTCTGTCCCCCAGGCTGCAGTACAGTGGTGCGATCACGGCTCACTGCAGCCTCCTCCTTTCAAGCCAAAGCAATTCTCTTACCTCAGCTTCCTAAGCAGCTAGGACTGCAGGAGTGCACCATCATGTCCACTAATTTTTAAGTTTATTTTTTGTAGAAATGGGGTCTTGCTGTGTTTCCCAGGCCCTTCTTGAACTTCTGGGTTCAAGACACTGGCCCACCTCTACCTCCTAAAGTGCTGAGATTACAGGCTGAGCCACTGCATCTGGCCAAGTTCTACCTTTTTGATAGAGTTCTCTTGGCCTACTCCACTGGAGCCTAAGTTCTCCCCTCCTAACCAGCACCTACTGTGTCATCCCATCTATTATGAATTGGGCTTTATTTACTTATTTATTTTTGATGTTTGTGTAAACGATTTATTGAAGGGCTGAGAATATAGAGGGATTCATGTCACCGTAACACAAAACTAAAAAATTCATAGGTTAGAAATCAAAGACCAGGTGGTGGTGGCTTTTGCCAGTATTTCCAGCACTTTGAGAGGCTGAAGCAGGAGGATCCCTTGAGCCCAAGAATTTGAGACCAGCCCTGGCAACATTGTGAAACCCTGTCTCTACAAAAAAATTTTAAAAATTAGCGATGGCTCATACCTGTAATCCAGCACTTTGGGAGGCTGAAGCGGGTGGATCGCTTGAGTCCAGGAGTTTGTGACCAGCCTGGGCTACATGGTGAAACCGTGTCTCTACAAAAAATACAAAGATTAGCAAAGTGTGGTGGTGCAGGTCTGTAGTCCCAGATACTTGGGAGGCTGAGACAAGAGGATTGCTTGAACCCAGGAAGCAGAGGTTGCACTGAGTCAAGATCATGCCACTGCACTCCAGCTTGGGTAACAGAATGAGAGCTGATTTCAAAAAACAAACAAATAAAAAAATTAGCTGGGCCTGATGGCATGTGCCTGTTGTCCTGGTTACTTGGGAGGCTGATATGGGAGGATTGCTTGAGCCTGGGAGGTTGAGGCTACAGTGAGCCATGATCATACCACTGCACTCCAGCCTGGGTGGCAGAGCAAAACCATATCTCCACCACACACACACACACACACACACACACACACACACACACACACACACACACACAGTGGTTCACGCCTGTAATCCCAGCACTTTGGGAGGCTGAGGTGGGCAGATAACTTGAGGTCAGGAGTTCAAGGCCAGTCTGGCAAATATGGTAAAACCGCCTTTCTACTAAAAATACAGAATTAGCTGGGGGTGGTGGTGGGGGTGTGGTGGCATGCGCTGGTAATTCCAGCTACTCAGGAAGCTGAGGCAGGAGAATCACTTGAGGCAGAGGTTGTAGTGAGCCAAGATTGCACCACTGCACTCCTTCCTGGGTGACAAAGAAACTGCATCTCAAAAAAATAAAAAATAAACGTAACATTTGCTTTTTCAAAAAAGTAATTTTTTTCTGGAAGATTTATTTTTAAATTCTTATTGATCACATTATATTTTAAATACTCAATGGGGAATTTGCTAATTTAAAGGAATGGAATGACCTTTGTCAAATAAATAATTAGGATATTAATACTTAGGTTGATAGTGTTTTATTAGATTAACGGACCATCCACTTCAAGGTTTTGGTCCCAAAAGCTTTGGTCTCAAAGACTATGGGGTTGACACAGGATTTTTTGGCTCTGCTTCGCCAGAGACCTCCACAGCTGGTGATGCCCCTACGTGGACCTTGCTTGGCCCTGGGCTTGCCACAGGAGGTATTCTGCCCCCTTGGCCCGGTGGGCTGCACTTGGCTTGCACCCTGGTCTGGACCCTATGCGCATTTGCACTTGCCATTTAGTGGGTCATGATTCTTGTCCCACATCCAATAATGAGGTTAGCTGACCGCTGGTGGGTGAGCAAGGCAAAGTTTTGTTGAGTGAACAAAACAACTGTCAGCAGAGAGGGTGCTTGAGTTGTGTAACCCCCCCCCCAGCACCTGAAGTCAGGTAGTCCCCTGCCTGAAGACAGGCAGTCTCAAAGTGTGGCTGAGTTTGGGGCTTTTTAGGCTCAGAATGGGTGAGTGCATGCTAATTGGTTTGCGAGTATGCAAAAAAGGCTAAAAAAAAAAGGGCACCACTAAAAGATGAGCATGACAGTGCAAAAACCAATTAGGGAAGGGTAGCTATATGTAAAATAGGTGAAGGGTGGGGATCAATCACAGGAAAGCGCACCAAACAAGAAAAGAGGTTGTCTATCCAGTCCATGGATTTATCTGAGACTTGTAGCTCGTTTTTCAGGCTTTAAACTGTATTTGGTTTGAAGGTCAGGTTTCACTGGGCACCTGCCCCTATCTGCCTGGGAATTTGACTGTCTCCTGCCGCTATCAGGATGTCTTACTGCAAGAGGATTGATGGTGTTGGCAACATTAAAGGGTTGGAGAGAGACCTCAGAATTTTCAGGCTTTCTGTAACTCATTATGTACTAAGATTTGATATCATTTAATCTTTGTTGTATGTACTACCTTAATCTAATTTGTGTATTTACTTATTGTAACACAAAGTTTTTGTAAAAGTATGATCATTCTACAAATACCTTATTTTTTCTTCTTCTTCTTTTTTTTTTTTTTTTTTTTTTGAGACAGTCTCACTCTATCGCCCAGGCTGGAGTGCAGTGGCGCAATCTCGGCTCACTTCAGCCTCTGCCTCCTAGATTCAAGTGATTCTCGTGCCTCAGCCTCCTGAGTAGCTGGGATTACAGGCACGCACCACCATGCCCAGCTAATTTTTGTGTTTTTTTGTTTGTTTGTTTTTGAGAGGGAGGTTCGCTCTTGTTGCCCAGGCTGGAGTGCAATGGCATGATCTCGGCTCACTGCAAACTTTGCCTCCCAAGTTCAAGCAATTCTCCTGCCTCAGCCTCCAAAGCAGCTGTAATTACAGGCTTGTGCCACCATGCCTGGCTAATTTTGTATTTTTAGTAGAGATGGGGTTTCACCATGTTGGTCAGGCTGGTCTTGAATTCCTAACCTCAGGTGATCCACCTGCCTCAGCCTCACAAAGTGCTGGGATTACAGGTGTGAGCCACCACGCCTGGCCTTAAATTTTGTATTTTTAGTAGAGATGGGGTTTTACCATGTTGGCCAGACTGATCTTGAACTCCTGACCTCAGGTGATCCGCCCTCCTCGGCCTCCCAAAGGGCTGGGATTATAGGCGTGAGGCACTGCACCTGGCCTTTATTTTGAGATAAGTTCTTGCCCTGTCGCCTAGGCTGGAGTGCAGGAGTGCAATTGCTTATACCTTTTGATGCTTCTCAAACTAAAATTCTAGGACACGTTTTAAGAAGCCTGTATCCTAAACACTTTTTTTTTTTTTTTTTTGTCAAATACTATAACAGTGTTCTAGGCTATCTTCTTGAACTAAAGTATTACTTCTTTCCTGGAGAATAGATGGAATTAACTTTATATTTTCAACCATTATGTAAGCTTAATGTATGTTAAATGTATAATTTTTTTTAAGACACTAAGTTTTTTTTTGTCAGCTGTTATCCATTTTTGGAAAGTTATAAACTTTTTCTAAAGTAAAATCTTGTTATTAAAGTCACATTGGTTAAAATTCTCTCAAGGGTTTGAGTAAATAGGTCTTCTTCATATTATGCTTCTTAGAATATCAACTGATAAAATCCTGTCTAGAAGTCAGTTTTGCAAAATGTATAAGCATAACAGTGTTGATGTAGATCAATATTTGTTGAGAAGGGACGACATCTTCAATAAGTGAAAAAGCAGTTTCTGTGGTTCTTTTGGTGGTAATAGCCCATATTATTAAACTGAAGGTCTATAGCTTTATGTGTGTATATGTAAAAATAAGCATGGGAGGTTGAAAAAAAGAAGGTTAGATTAGTTAAATCTCACTTCCTGTTCTGAAGCTTACTGAAATGGATTTTTGAAGGCTGGGTGCAGTGGCTCATGCCTGTAATCCCAGCACTTTGGGAGGCCGAGGTGGGTGGATCACTTGAAGCCAGGGGTTTTGAGACCAGCTTGGCCAATATAACGAGACCCTGTCTCTACTAAAAATGCAACAATCAGCCGGGCATGATGGTGCATGCCTGTAATCCTAGCTACTCAGGAGGCTGAGGCACGAGAATCACTTGAACCTGGGAGGCAGAGATTGCAGTGAACCAAGATTGCGCCACCTTACTCCAACCTGGGTGACAGAGTGAGAGCCTGTTTCAAGAAAAAAAAAAAAAGAAAAAAAGAAAAGAAAAGAAAGAAATGGGTTTTTGAAATTACTCTGTTATGTATACTTGTATTGTTTTAAAAGAAAACTTGAATATAGAAATAAATGGGTCTACATTTAGAGAGACTGGGTATTTATAAATAAACATAATATATTTGTTTATGTTTTGGAGGCCAAATGACTGGAATTTGCTTTTACAACATGCTGTTAAAGCTGAACTCTTTTCTACCTCACCTTTTTAGAGGAGCCATGTGGTGCTTTGCTGGTTAAGCTGGCTGGAGTAGAACTCACTGAAACTGGGAAGGCATGGTTACAAAAAGAGCTAAAACCTTCCCAATTACTATGGTTCCAACTTCTTGGAAAGGAGAATTCAGCACTCTTTTGCTATCTTTTAGTGAATAAGGTAAGCAGTGTGAAGAAACAACTAGCAATATCTTATTCTTCTTATTGCTTATGTGTAAACACTTATTTAACTAGAACTTTGGATATATAATGGGACTGACTTTTTTTTTGCTTTTTTAAACTGCTACGGATAGTGATGATGCATAGAGAACTAGGTGTCTTATATACAAATTTTATTTTAGTTATATATGTAATATATGTTTATTATAGAAAAAATAAAATTAAGAAAAAAGAAAAACTTCAAATTATTATTTATTATTTATTTATTTATTTATTTATTTTTAGATGGAGTCTTACTCTGTTGCCGGGCTGCAGTGCAGTGGCACGATCTTGGCTCACTGTAACCTCCACCTCCTGGGTTCAAGTGATTCTCCTGCCTCAGCCTCCCGAGTAGTTGGGACTACAGGGGCCTGCCACCATGCCCAGCTAATTTTTGTATTTTTAGTGGAGATGGTGTTTCACCATGCTGACCAGGATGGTCTTAATATCTTGACCTTGTGATCCACCCACCTCGGCCTCCCAAAGTGCTGAGATTACAGGCATGAGCCACTGCGCCTGGCCTATTATTTATTATTATTATTTTTTGAAACAGAGTCTCACTCTGTTGCCCAGGCTGGAGTGCAGTGTCATGATCTTGGTTCACTGCAACCTCTACCTCCCAGGTTTAAGCAATTCTGCTGCCTCAGCCTCCCGAGTAGCTGGGACTAGCGGTGCACACCACCATGCCTGGCTAATTTTTTGTATTTTTAGTAGAATGAAGTTTCGCCATGTTGGCCAGGCGCGTCTCGAACTCCTGACCTCAGGTGATCCGCCTGCTTCAGCCTCCCAAAGTGCTGGCATTATAGGCATGAGCCACCATGGCCATAAACTTCAAATTATTAATGACTCTGGGCATTGCTAATTTAGGAAGTATCATTATATGTTTGTTTATGTATGGGTATATTACATCATGCTTGTTACTATAAACCACTTGTTGAGTGAGGCTTGTCAGCTGGAAACTACAAACAGCCAGGGTGTTTCCTGAGGGTTTGCTTAGTCTAGTCCGATATGTTGTTGATAGGTCTGTCTAAGTGTATAAATCTTTGAACCATAAAGTTGAACATTCTCAAGTACTAGTTCTGATCAGTGATGAGTCATTTAAAGATATTGCCTCAGAGTTTTCTTACCTTTATAATTGGCCATAGCCATTGTATAACTGGAAATGACAGTTTCATCTTTGTTGCTGAATCACTGTCCCGAATCCCTGGATGTGTCTTACTCCAGATTTTTTTGGTGGGCCATCAGATAGGTTTTCATACCTTGATCACTTCTATGATATTGAGCTCTTAAAATTATAATTATGAGCTGGGTACAGTCACTTGTGCCTGTAATCCCAGCAACTCAGGAGGCTGAGGTGGGAGGAATGCTTCAGCCTACACAGTCGAGACTGCAGTGAGCTATGATCGCGCCACTATACTTCAACCTGGGCGACAGAGACAGACCCCTTCTTTTAAATAAAATAAGATGATTAGAATTTTGACCATTTTAATTCTTAAAAGCTTTTTGAATTATTAATAGAAAGCTTAATGAAATTCCTTAATTTTTGCATGTCCAGATGATATTCAGTACTTTCAAAATAAGAATTATCTAAAACTAATTAATTGAAGTATCTTATATTTTAAAAGTAGGTTTGAAAGTAAGTTAATAAAGGCTGGGCATGGTGACTCATGCCTGTAATCCCAGCACTTTGGGAGGCCGAGGCCGGCAGTACACTTGAGGTGAGGAGTTCGAGACCACCCTGGCCAACTTGGTGAAACCCTGTCACTACTAAAAATACAAAAATTAGCTAGGCATGGTGCTGGGTGCCTGGAATCTCAGCTACTCAGGAGGCTGAGGCAAGAGAATCGCTTGAACCCTGGAGGCGGAGGTTACAGTGAGCCGAGATTGTGCCACTGCACTCCAGCCTGGGTGACAGAGTGAGACTCCGCTTCAAAAAAAACAAAAACAAAAAAAAGTAAGTTAATAATACAAAGTTGTATAAAACATCCCAAAGGCCTTACAAAAATATTAGCTTTTAAATTAAAGAGTATAATTACCAAAAAAAGGAGATAATTATGATGATGATAAAGATAGCAATGATGTATATTTTGAGGGTCAACATGTGCCAGACGCTGAGCTAAGGTGCCATGCTTATATTATGTCACTTATCTTCAAAACCACTCTACAGGGTTGTTGTTTTTATTCCCACTTTCAGGTGAGACTTTTAGGGAAACTGATTGTCTTGATCAGGGTAACCCAGAAGAAGAGCCTGTATCCAAACCCAACTCTTCCTGGCTCCTGAGCCTACATTTCATCTTATAAGCATATCTTTATTTTATCTCGCTTCCTAGTTGACCAAACTACGCTATACACATAGAGTGATAATTTACTTCTCCTGTTTGAATTTTGCTAATGTGTGAGGTGGAATTTTAATTATTCTGAGTTTGGTTCAAGGGAATGAGCTTATAAGATTTGAAAGATTTAGAAAAATATAATTGCTTTATAACTGTTATCATGTACTAAAAATTTCTGAATTTGAAGGAACAGAATTTTATTAACCCTTTGTTAAGATTAAAATCCCACAAGGATTGTAGAAGTATCTAGGCAGGATCTCCTTTTATTTATTTATTTATTTTCCCGAGATGGAGCCTTGCTCTGTCCCCCAGGCTGGAGTGCAATGGCGCGATCTCGGCTCACTGCAATCTCCGCCTCCCGCGTTCAAGCAATTCTCCTGCCTCAGCCTCCTGAGTGGCT